AAGGGGAAAAAACCCAGGATGGTTGCGACAACAAATAAACTTTGACTTCAACTTTGAGATACAGTGGTGCCTCGCAAGACGAAAATAATCCGTTCCGCGAGTCTCTTCGTCTAGCGGTTTTTTTGTCTTGCGAAGCAACCCTATTAGAGGCTTAGCGGATTAGCGCTATTAGCGGCTATTAAAGGCTTAGCGGCTTAGCGGCTAAAAGGCTATTAGCGGCTTAGCGGCTTAGAAAAGGGGGGGGAGCGAAAAAAATCGCAAGACTCGCAAGATGTTTTCGTCTTGCGAAGCAAGCCCATAGGGAAATTCGTCTTGCGAAGCGCATCGAAAAACGGAAAACCCTTTCGTCTAGCAGGTTTTTCGTCTTGCGAGGCATTCGTCTTGCGGGGCACCACTGTACTTCCTGAAATTGCTGGACCAAGAATAACTCACTGTCACTGGTGGCGCTCACTTCTGCAGAAGCTGCTGTGGATAAGAGGACATGGCAGTATGAAACAGAATTCCTCCAATACACAGAACAATACACAATTCAATATTTAAATCTTTCCTGCAAAAAGTATTCTTTAATTTCCTCCCAATCTCCATTAAATGGCCAGTGTCATACACTAGAGAGTGCCATCTGTCTGGAAAATTCTACACGTGCAGGATTTTTATTACCTATTATGTGGATGGACTAGATCTATCACAGTCACCATGAGCTGCACTTTCCAGTCACTGATCTGTGCTTTAAAGCTCTGTGTTGAAGTGGTTTGGGTTTTTTTATCCCAATGCTTTCCTCAGGAAAACCCACATTTAGCACTGAATTAGAACAAATAATGGAAAACCAGATTGCTGTTTGCTCCAATTCAGTGGTAATGCACAGGTTTTCCTGGGGAAAGCACTGGGACAAAAAAGAACCCCTCTCAGACACAGAACTCTGGATGAGCCTCATGATAACAGGCCAAGGTGCAACACAGAAAACCAAATTAAGTAAGAGGGCACTAACCAAGTTGGATTGGGGCAAATGTCTTTAAGATCAATGCATGAGATCTCTTTTCAGAGAACATGAACTACAAACCTGTCAGGATTTCTCTCTCCATCTCTCTCTCTCTCACACACAGACAGGTGGTTGTATAAATTTATAAATTTGCAAAGCCACAATTTACTAGTCAACCCTGTCTCACCCAAAACGAAAGCCATCAAAGAAGAAGTCTTCAAGCTTAGCATTAATAAAACATAAAGGCAAAATCTCCTTCTGATCCTCTGATGTTCACCACTTGTAGGAGTAGTCTGTGAAGATATATTAAGCATTTAGGGTGGGGGTGATGTTGTAGGTTGGGAGCACCATCTGCCTGGGATTTATTTTAGCACTGTCTGATTTAAATACAATGCTAGGTGTGTAAACACACACACACACACACACCTTTATTCAGATGGATAGTGAACGTCATGCTTAAATCAGCCAACACCTACTTCTGCATGCCAGGTATCTGTAGCCTGAGTGCCTACATGATGGCATCCTGATGCTTCTCATGGACTGTGTAGCAGTGACCCATATTCCACAGGCAGCTGGCCATGTGGGATCCTACTCAAGTTTTCCAAGCAGATGTATCCTCATGTATAAATCAGGCTTGGCAGATGCACCACCCTTTCTTATGTGAATCGGGACTTCTTTTGTTTTCCCTCTCAATTTAGAGTGGCAGTCTGATGATTATAAAGTGAGTCTGCTATGACTGCCTACGCAGAAAATAAAGAATAACTCTGCCTGGATGACTCTATGGTGATGATCTAGATATACAAGTGCCCTAGAATCTGGATCCACCATGGCATTCTGCTGCCCTCTTAACGCAGTTACTACAGTCACATTGTCCCAAGGAATATTCTACTGGGCAAATTATTCAAAAGGCTCAAGAGCACATGCTTAAAATGTTCAACACTTACCAGTGCTGGGAGTCAAATCAGTGCTGGGAGGCGGTGATGTCTCTAGAATGAGGACAGAAGATCTCACAACTATTATCCTGAATAATGCTAAATGCTCACTTGTTGAAACTAGCATTTTCCTCTGTGTCATTCAAACCTTTGCATGCCTAGCTGATGTGAACACAGCTCATTGAAATAAGAAGAATTCTGCTGGATCTTACCAAAGGTCCATCTAGTCCAACATCCTTTTTCTAACTTTGGCCAGCCAGTGCTTCCAAGAAGTCCATAAACAAACAAGAAAGGCCTTAACCCTCTCCTGTAGTTTATGGCCAGTGTGCAGTCCTCAGCTGTAAACTACTTATGCTCATGGAAGTTCTATTTTCTTATCATTGGTAACTTCATAGATGTCAGCAGATGTATCCTCATTGAATTTGCCTAAACCAAGGATGTGGCCCTTCATATATGTTGCACTATGGCTCCTGTCATTCATCTCTATACTAGCTGAGGCTGATGGGGATTGCTGTCCAAAAACATCTGGAGGAGTACAGGTTCCCCATCACTGTCTGAAACCATTATTGGAGCCACCTTAGCTTGTGCATCATAGCTATCACTTGGGGGGGGGTATGAATTCCATCCTTTATTTATGGAATTCGTCCCAAGGAGGAGGGAAACACACTGGGCCATTGAGAATTACATACCTCCAGACACTAGAGCGCAAACCAGCAGGAGTCCCCATATCATCTTCATGGTCATGAATGACTTGGGAGGTTTTCAGGAATTCAGGGCAGCCTAAAGAAGCCGAGGAATGTTGTGGTCTGATCCACTCTCACTGGCTTATGAAGGAAGGAAACGCCAATGAAAATGGTTGGGTAGTGGGGAGTGGAATCGTGGAGGAAATCAGGATCCTGGTGATGAAACAATTGGACAGATAAATTGGACAGATAACAATTGGATAAATATGCAAACGGAAGAATTAAGATGGCACACAGCACTTGTGGCACATGAGAATAGACACAATGTTAATTGGTCTTCTAAATAAAGGGAGAGGCAAGGAAATTATTTGCTGTACCAAGGCTTTCTAATCTGTTTACTCAGAAAAGGGTTTTTGGTTTTCTTCTTTCTGCCTCTGGCAAATCCTGGCTGAGGCATGGACGGTGGTATCTTCTCCTGATGCACCTCACTTTAGGCTTCTCAAAGGGTGTGAAAGCAAATGTATGGCTTCTAGACAAGGTGGCATAAATGTGGAGTTTGATGTTATGTGGAGAATTCAGGCTCCTTGAAAATATCGTATTTCACTTAAAGGAAAAATATGTCTAACTCTAATACCTACAAATAGATGTTTGAAAATGTAAAAAAAAAAAAAGAGGTAAGGGACCCCTGACAGTTAAGTCCAGTCGCAGACGACTCTGGGGTTAGAATCATAGAATCATAGAGTTGGAAGAGACCACAAGGGCCATCGAGTCCAACCCCCTGCCAAGCAGGAAACACCATCAGAGCACTCCTGACATATGGTTGTCAAGCCTCTGCTTAAAGGGTTGCAGTGATTATTTCGCTTTACAGGCCAAGGGAGCCTGCATTTGTCCGCAGACCTTCTGATTGGCAAGCCCAAGAGGCTCAGTGGTTTAGACCACAGTGCCACCCGCATCCCCATTTGAAAATGTACCTATCTTAATTCTCAGAATGTGACTGAGGAGTGGGATTATTATTACTAGTAGGAGGTGCCTGGTGCTGCCCAGGATTTTTTATAATCCAAAAAAAAGTTGTTGTTGTTGTTTAAAAAAGCAGGCAAAAAGCAGTCAAAGTCACACCAAAGTCACATTTGGGTCTTCCATATTGATTCAAAATGGCAGCCAGAGTCTAAACATCAATGAAGAGCACCACCCCCACCTCAGGAACCCTTGGGCAAAGTTTGGTGGTGGTATCTCGAGAGGGACCTGAAAGTATAAAGAACAAAGAAAGAAATGGAAAGAGAAACCACTTTCCAAAGTATATGGTAGATTATGATTATCATTATGAATTGCATTTATAGCCCTTTTTTTTCTCCAAGGAGCCCAGGGTGGCATACATGGTTCTCCTCCTTCTCCTTTAATCCCCATAACAGCCCTGTGAGGTTGGATCAGGGTGCAAGATTTGCAGGGCCCAGGAGGCATTGGAGCCACAGCTGGCATCTCCTTCTCCATTCATGCCAACATTGCTGAGGTAAGAAGGTATTTACCTGGAACATAAATATATTTAAGTTCCAGGTAAATATCCAGGAACTGTTTTGTTATATCCAGGAACTGTAAATGTTAATCTTAAATCCAAATAGAAGTGTGGCATTGCTCTCATTCACTTAGCATATACAAGAGGCAGTTAATATGACCCTTACAGCCTTGCAGTGACAAATTCCTGCAGGGTAACTATGAAAGGCTGCTAGAACAAAAACAACTGAGTCTTGTGGGACTTTAAAGACTTGCAGATTTACCACAAAGAAAGAAAGAAAATCTTCTCTCCAATCTGGAATTGGGTGCAAAGTACCACCCATCAACTGCCCTGGTAATCCTGATGCTCTGCTTGGTAGAATAACTGGAGCCAAGGCATATTCAACAATAGGAATATGGAATCTGTGGCCCTTTAGATGCATTACGGTGGGTCATGCTAACTGGAGCCGATGCAATTTGGAGTCCAATAACATATGGAGGGTCACAGGCTTCTAATCCCTTCTCAACCATCCCAATTTAAATGGGACATCCCGAAATTACAAAAGCTACCCCTAGTTTCTGATTAAATCCCAGAATGTCCCATTTTTGGATCCAGCACCCTGGCATGAGCCAGCTGGCTCTTGAGAAAGTTTGGGAGCAAAAAAACCACCCCAAGCATCTTGATTTGGATCAGCAAATTGGAAGGGTATGTTTGGCTTTCAGGAGCCAGATTTATGGATAATGGCCAATTTGTCATGTCCTGGCTAATCCCATCTCCACTCCAGTTTATGTAAATGGTGGCATTCATCCTCAGGGCATCCTGTATTTATTTATACACCCTGACTGTTTTCTCCATAATTAACATCATTATGATGCAATATCTCAACTAAACTCGTAATATTTCTCTGCTAGCTCCTTTGATTGGTTTCTGTCGCTTACATAAAGTCAGCAGTGTAGGTACTCTGCTCAGTTTCAATCAGTATTCTGGCTTCATCACAGCATCTTGAGTGTCAAGAAACATTGAGGCTGCTGTCTGTGTTTCTGCAATGAAGACTCTTTGGATCCTTCTCCTGCTGGCAACTTCCACTTGGGCTTTTGTTGCTGTGGGTAAGTAGGGAGAGGCCACCCAGGAAGTGTTTCTTATTTGGGGTGTTTTCTGTCCTGCTGTGAGAAACCTCTACAGGTGTCCAGTATGAAAGAAACAGTTCTGTGTTTAGTGACCATGCCAAATGTTTTTAATTACCTGATTTGAAACACAAATCTGCCCAGCTCATAATGCTCAGGTATTATGCACTGCGCTGCCGGAGCACAATTTCTGTTCTCATCCTGAAGCAAAATTCTTAACCTGAGGTACTATCTCTGGGTTAGCGGAGTCTGTAACCTGAAGCGTCTGTAACCTGAAGCGTAGGTAACCCGAGGTACCACTGTATATGCATTAATATTATAACCCAGGAGAGAAAACACACACACAAATTCTTTACAAATGCTTGCTAAAATAGCTCATAGACACTGAGTCAATTCCAAGCTAACTCTTGAGGGATTTTATCATGGGTAGTTGAACACTGGTGATTTTTTTTCCAGAGATGGGGGGAAATTGTATTTTGTTTGCATTTTAATGTGAAACTGCCTAATTTATACAAGCAGAAGTTCAATTATCCTTCAACATTCACACTTCTGGGATAGCCCAGTTGATGGATCACAAAAACGCTTACTCAGGTTAATGGGTTTGAGCCCCCCATTGAGCAAAATATTCACACATTGCAGGAGGTAGGACTAGGTGAGCCTCATGGTCCCTTCCAACTCTCTAATCCTAAGATTTGCACCTCTCCAGGTTTTGCAATGCCATTCTCCAACCCAAAAATGTGTACAAAATTCTGGGAAAGTGAAAATGAAAATGCACAGACTAGTGAAAACAACATAGTCAAATGCATTGCATTAGGGGAAATTTCTTGTAAAAATGTATATATTTGTCCAAACATGTATTTTAGGAGAAAGATGCACTGAAATGCTGTCTTTCTGTGAACTTTTTATTATTATTTAAAAAAGAACATTTGCACCCATCTCGTCTAGATTCCAGCAATGCTGCCCGAGAGTCCCGATCCAGCTCTGGTCCTGGTAAGCAGATTGACACCCCTGGGTGGGAAGGGCACTGAGCCTAACTTGGTGACTGATGTTAATGTGTGTGGAAATCCTAAAAAGTAGGTCCACTGTAAGATGAACTAGAAACAAAACAGCATAATACATGGAGAGGTGAGCAGACACTTTTTGTGCTAAGCAATCCTGCAAATGGCTGGGAAATCTTCTATAGCTCAGACTCTGAGCCAACTACTGAAACGTTAGAGACAGAGACAGCACCTCAAAGGAAGAAAATAGTGAAAGATTTAAAAAATAATATTTCTGAAACAACCCCCCCATCCCACCACATCATCCAAGCTTTTGGAGTTGAAGGGGCAATTGCTGGGGTGGGGAGGGAGCAGGGCTGTCCAGTGTGGGAATCAAGTCATTTGAAGCAATTCACAGAAGGGACTAATTATTATTTTTTCCATGGCACCCAGGGGCAATTTCTGCACGCGCATTCCTCACAGATCTGGCCGATGTGTTTGGCAGTACCTCTGAAGTGTTTGGTGAACTTTTCACTCAAATGGTTACGTCCGTTTTAGGAGGAAAAGGTAAGTGTTGGAGGACATTGCAAGTGGGGAGCATTTTTCAAAACAAGCTTGTGTGGTGAGCATGAGAGGGGGAAAGTCCCAATGTGATGTGGAGAGAAGTGGATGAGGTTTTTTAAAATGCAAACGCAATGCAAGGAAACTGCTCTAGGGCTGCTCAGTCTAGAAGAGCTCCTGTGCCAGCAGACAGAGGGTGGAATTCAATGCCATACTGTGACAAACGTTCTGCCAGGCCCCTGCAATGTAGTTTGCACAAGTTCCCACAAGAAAGTATAACTGCTGTGGCCATTTCCACCTTCCATTAAAAAGATGTGGGTGTGTGGCCTTGGGAGGCTGTGGGGAAGGTCGGGACCCCCGAGGGAAGGGAGACAAAGGCCGGGAGAGAGATGCAACAGGATTACTGGGAGGTGAGGAGGATGGTAATAGTGAAGAAGTTAACCCTGCTGAATTTTTCTTGATAGGCACCAGAGAACTGAGGAGAGAGGCTCGTGGATCTCCAGGCTCCGAGCCAAGCAACAGGAACTGATTAGCCATGGGTAAGCAGCTCCAAGTCATAAGGTACTGGGCACTATCTGGAGGGCCACAAGTTTCCCATTCCTTGCTTGAACTTCTGCCCCAGACATGAAATGGTGAATGTTGCTGTATTAAGAATGTTGACTTTAAGTCATGTTCAATTTCAGATATTTGCAGCAATGGTACAATTGGACTTCTGCATGGTCTAGAGCAGTCCTTTCCAAAAGGTCGGTCGTGGGATGTCCCTGGTCCTGGTCGATTGCGGGATCCTGATGCCCCACCCCCACCCCCAAAAAGCAGCTCAACAACTTTGGCTCATCCCCCCCCCAAAAAAAAGCTCAAGAACTCTGGTCAATCCAATGGGTAGATCACTGTCATTTTTTTTATAGTGGGAGTAGATCGCAGTCTCTTGGAAGCTGGACAGCCCTGGTCTAGAGAATGAAGGAGGCTTTGACATCCTGGTGTTTGCCATCCTGGTAGATTGCCACATATCTATACCAATTGATCAATAAAGTTCTAGTCAAGCAAATCATTGGCATTTGACTCTATGCACCTTATTTGTGGCTTTCTGTATAGCAATGCATGATTATACATTCTCAATAACCTGACACACTAACATGTGTTTTTCAAGACACATTGGCTAGGATTCACGTAACCAGACCCACCACTTAGCCTTGTGCAAATGTTTCTGCTTGTGCAATGGGGCTTCCTCCCATCTCCCCCATGCTCCTCATAGGTCTGGAGAACCCCAAGAACAGCACAGGGGGTGAGGAGAGGGAGGGTTGTACTGCCTGACAAGCTGCAATGGTTGTGTTGGAGGAATTTCAACAGGGGCAAATGTCAGGTTCTGCACATAGGCAGGAAGAACCAGTTGCACAAATATAACTTGGGGGACAGCTGGCTGACCAGCACTACATGTGAAAAGGATCTGGGGGTCTTAACAGACGCAAGCTTAACAGCAGTCTACAAGGTGATGCAGCAGCAAAAAAGCTAATGCTATTCTAGGCTGCATCAACAGAAGTCTAGTGCCCTGGGCAGTGGAAAGGACTCCCTCAGGAGGTGGTGGGCTCTCCTTCAGTGGAGGTTTGTAAGCAGCGGTTGGGTCTGCCATGGATGCTTTCGTTGAGATTACTGCACTGCAGGGGGTTGGACTAGAATACCCTTCCAACTTCACAATTCTGTGATTCTAAGAATTGCTGAAGGATTGCAGCACTGAATTCCACCCACAGAATTTGTCATTCATGCTTTACCCTTAAAACTTCCTTATACAATTTATTTTATTTCATTAAATTTACATACTGCTTGATTGTGAAACAACCAACCACCTCAAAGCAGTTTACAAAAAGAATAAACCATAAAATTATTGATAAAAACAGTTAATAACAACTATTCAAAACATTCAGAGGAGAAAATAAAACTAGAGATAAACTAAAAACACACACAATCATTCTAATAGGGCAGGCTTGTCCACATAAGAGCACATTCCTTGATGTATGCAAAACCAGACCAACCCAGGCCACAGCCAGGAATAATATTTGAGCCTCTTCGGTTAGAAGGCTAATCACCCGATCAATGTCCTACTTGCTAGGCTCTTTCTCAGTTTGTGGTAGGAAGGTAATTTATTAATGCTTGGGCCATTCACATATAAGATAAATAAGATAGATAAATACAATGCAAAATCCAAGTCAAAGTATTGCATAAAGTAACATTACTGCCTAGAATCATACATAAAACATCTTCAAAATACTATGTAAATCGCATGTAGCATGTATGAAATTTACAAACTGAAATTCAATACAGATAAAAAACATTAATTATTAAAATATATTATGCTTAAATAAGCACATCCTCCAAGCAGTCGACTGCCATCTCCTTAACAACTCCTGCCCAGGTTTCCATGCTGCTACGATAAAAAGAGAGACCTTGTGGGTTACCCTACAATCTGTGTCCAACAGAAGGTAGAAAATGTTTTGTGGAATGGTATTGGATGAGTAAGAACAGATCCCAGAAATTTTGTGCTTGGTTCAGGATAAAGTGAACCAAAGAACAAACAGTGAAGCAGTTCCTCAACTTCTGGAGCCCCACAAATACACAAGCAGAGCGCCAAGGGAGTATGAGAGTGCTGACAATCATAGCTGTGGGCATTGTCTGGAAACAAAGGGCTGCAAATGCTTGCCTAAGCTTTGGAAATGTGAGCTTTGCAAGGTAAGCAGCCATTTGGTGGTCCAATTTGTAAAGTCTATATTAATTCAAAAATTTAGAATTATTAATGTTCTGTCTGGCAAGGACATTATATGTATTTTCCACCATGGAAAATATATAGAATGTCCTTGCCAGAGAAGACATTAATAATTGTAAATAATTCTAAATTTTCCAAATTCAAAGCAGAAAAATGATTGAATGGAGTAGGATATGAATAAAGCACCTTCCAATATTTTAAGTTCCAACTTTTGCAGTTTGATACCTGCTCCAAACATAACTTGGGGAATACCCTACCAGGAGACACTTTTATGATTCACCAGTATGGATGGGGAAATGGATGGGAGATCGAATGGAGGGGGAATCTACCTCTGCCCTGACCAAAGCTGAAGGAGTGCCAGGTGGAAGTCTTAACAATTCCCCAGAAATGTATTTTGGAGGGCCTAGTTTAGCCCATCCTCAAATAGCCATCCTTAGACAGCCACACCATACAGGATCTGAGCAATACTTTGAAATATTTTCAGGGCTAGCACAACCAGATCTAAGAATTGCCCCAATTGTTCTCATAGTCACTGCTCTGATAGCTTCTAACTGGATGCCAAGATTCTTAAATACTTGGCATTGTTCAATTTGGTGACCATTAATAGACCAGTTCCTCAATTAGGAACAATAAACAGTTATCCGTATTAGTGGTGGCCAGTTTATAATACCACAATAGTATGGTTGGGGGTTTTTGGCCAAAGTTCTTAAGCTTTTTTCTTTTTCTTTTTTAGCAAAATTGCAAAAAAAAAAATGCTGTTTTAAGCTATTTTTATGGAAAGTGGGCAAAAGCAGCACTGCCAACATTGGCTGCCATACATCCGGATTTTACAGGACATTTTCCTGATTTCCATCCAGACATTGCTAGAGGCAGTGGTATTCCAGATATGTCCAGGAAATTCCAGACGTATGGCAACCCTATACAACAGGCTTCTGTCGATCATATCAAAGACTGATGCTAAGTCGACAAAGGCAACAAGTAAGTGTTTGGTAGGTCCAGCAGTTGCTTATTGGGCTAAGAAATGCAAGACAGGCAGTGATCAATAGTGCTTTCCCTTTTCCTAAAACCAGCCCGTTCAGGAAGGATAATGTGGTTAATAGATTTCCAGTCGTCCAATTTGTTTAGCAAATATTTGCTATATAGTTTAGGATCAGATCAAATGGTACATTGTTTGGTTTTGTAGGTTCAGGTATCTATGCCAATTCCTTTAAAAATAGAAATTAGTTTGTTTCATGTGTTCACAGTCGAATAATGAAGAATACATTTTAATAATTTTAAAATTAAAAATTACATGACATTTCAGAAATGGTGTGGAACATTTCCCCTGTGGAAATTGCTCTTTTTACTTTCAGTTCCGTAAATCACATGTTGATGTGACAGCTATCCCCACATGCCTTTTTTTTTTTAAGTGTTTAATTAGACAATCTCTTGGATCAATATTTGAGCTAGATGACAAAAGAAATTGTTGGAGGAAACACACTGTCTTGAGCAAGCCTCAAAAGCCATTGAGCCAAGACAGGAAGTCCTGGCTAAAAGCCAGTGTGCTCCGGGACCCCTACACCAATTTGCGCGCTTCCCAGTGTGAGCAATGCTTTATGGGGAACACTGAGCAATTTCCCACAGGTACTTCGTCATTGTTTTAAGGCCACAAACCATCCGCTACACTCCATGTTTCCTCCTTGCCAGCTTCATTGGTTCTGCTCTAGTTATTTGCCTTTTAATCAAAGTTTGCCTATTATATAAAGTTATTTGCCTTTTAATTTTTTTAAAATGCCAAAATGGAGTAGGGTCTTGGGGCCACAAATATCTTCTGTTATGCTAGATACAGGCCATGGGTTAGCCAACCCTGCTTTAGTGACTTTAAAGGCAAGTCACTACAATTTAGCACCCACAGATAACATGGGTGGCTCTGAAGCAGATAACATGTAGCAGTTCACAAGCATTTGATCTGCCAGCTTTCTGGCTTACAGCTCACACTCTTAGCCACTGTGCTACCTCAACTCTGTCAAGATGTCCATACCGTTCTCCCCTCTGGTGGGTGAGTCCCTTTCTGCTGACCACTCCCCAAGGGATTCTTCACTGCTTTCCTCTGGAGATGAAACCACTTCTAGAGAATGGTGTCCATAACAGTACAGTTCTTGATGGCCAAGGTGGTCTGGCCCCTCCATGCTTTCTCCACCCATGCAGTGAGAAAGCCACGATTCCAACTTTGAATGAGATGTAGCTTGAGGGCAGAAGTGGGAAGAAATCACAGGAGATAGCTCCACTATGGTGGACTCTGAAGAGTCACTTCCCATTCTGCCATGATGAAAGGGGACTTCAGGGAGCGCTGTGTGAGTCTCATCCTTCACGCCTTCCACATCAAAGTGGAACTTGTCTCTGCGGGCTTTTTCCATCACTTCCCACACTACCTGTTCCAGACGACTCATAGAAGATGGTACAGCAGAAGCTCCTTGAGGCCCTCCTCGGGTGGAAGTGTACAAGCACATCGTGGAAACGGCTTTTTGCAAACGCTTGAGAGGAGGCAGAGACTCAGGCTGGGAAGGAACATTCCAAGAATCTGGGATGTCTGGGAAAGCCCAGAACAAGTGGGCAGGGGAAATCTTTTGGATGGGAGTCTTAGACACATAAGAGTAGAGGCAGAAGAAAGCATCAGCCGTTACAGCCAGAGTCTGGACTTGCTTGAACCGACCTGTGAAAGGAAGGATAGAAAGTGTCAGAGGAAAACCAGTGTAGATCCAAGAGACCCTAGCTTCCAGCTCTTCCAGGTCACATCTGTATGGCAGGGACTGTACACACACCTGAAAACTAGGCCTGGTTTCATTTTCCTGGGTTCTAGTTTTTTTTCTGTCTTCCTCTTGCCTAAGCAAAGGCTTTTGTTTGGTCCTCTCTTCTGCTCCTGGTCCCAGTTCTACCTGCTTTCCTATGTTCTATCAAGAACAGAGGTCCTTTCCCATCACCTGCTACCTGAGCTCTTTTCAGATTTCAACCAAAGATGCCAAGGGTTGAACATGGGAGCTTCTCTACATGCTCTGAGCCTCACCCTTTGATATCACAGTCCCAGAACTGCCAGCCATGAAATGCTTGTGGCACTTACTTGCTAACATCAAGCAAGGATCCTCCATCTCTAACCGTTGCACCTGGGCTCTGAGGAAGAGCTGGAAATCAATGCCCTCAGCTTGGGAGGGAACTGAGAAGAACCGAGATGGGATCCAAGATGCAGCCTGTGTCTCCTCTTGTATGAAGCCCAGGTTGCACAAGATGGTCTCAGCATCAGCTTCATAGAGATCCAGCACCTCAGAGATGCTAGGCAGAGAAGATAAGAGTGTGAATGCAGGAGTGTCCCAACTGATTACTGAACCATTTTCAGGTCATAGACCCACAAATACACCACTAGGTATGTCCGCAAGCCCCTTTCCTTCAGAGAATAACGGGCAGCATCTGTGGGATTTCCTCACCCCCACAGCCTTGTGTGTGGTGAAAGAGGGTGCTTGCAATAATATTCATGGTGGGGTCTGGTAGAGAAAGCAAACAGAGCCCTCTGTATGTTGTTGGACCATATTTCCCATCAGCCCCAGCCTGCTCAACTAACCGTCAGGGGTGGCGGGAGCTGTGGTCCATGACATCCAGAGGGCACCAGGTCAGCTGCCTTCAATGTACAGACCAGAGGCTAGGTATCTCTGCTCCAATCACTGCTGGTTTGTTAGTGGTGTAGGTAGATCTTTAAGCCAGTCCAAGTCCTACACAATACGATCCATGCTTACCTTGAGCTGGTTTTGTTAGTGCTGCCTGAGAAGGCACTGGAAGTCATGCTGTGATCCAGATTGAGATGTTGGGAAGGCCAGAATGTATGTTTTTGGGACCTGCTGTGGAAGAAGAGACAGTGAAGAGACACATCTGCATGCATACCCACATCCCTTTTGGTGTGCATGTAGGAAGACCAAAAGGGAGGGCAAGCTGGCAGTCACAGCCAGCTGCACACTTGCACAAGACTGATAGTGTGACAACACCCTACAATGTTATTAGACAAATATGCAGCCGGTATCTCATTTCAGAAATAAAACTAGAAATCTCACCCCCCCCTGCCCCCCCAAAACAAATTTAAATTCTGGATTTCAGATTTCTCCAAACTTTGGCTCTAGCAACGCTAACCTCCTTAGCTCTTGTTCTCACCTAGGCTCAGCTCTGTCTCTGTCCAGTAGCACCATTGCTGGAAAGAAGAAAAGAAAGGTCTCTCATGAGCAAAGGATACATTGCATTCCTACGAAGAGAGCTGACGGCCAAGGAGCATATTGGCAGAGTTGCACCATCAAATTAGCATTCTTGCCACCCATCCATGGGCCATCTGGAAAGAAGGCTTGCTCACACCCCCCTCAATCCTCATCACTTACCTTCTGCTCCCAGGCTAAGGTCATCTTCAAAGCTGGTTCTGTTGCTGCAGGATCCTACAGGATAACACAAATATATAGTCACCTAGAGCAAGCATCCACAGGTGGAAAAGGGACTGGGTGAGATCAAAAGGCTGAGTGGCTTTTTCTATGCAGTTTTATTATGGACATGCCACAACACAGCTCTACATGGGCAGGGCTGTGTGAAGGCTACAGTTCCACAGAAGAACAGGAAATCCAAAAAGTGTAGAATTCAGCTTCCTAAAATGCTCAGATTTTTCTTTCTTTCTAATCCCTGTGAAAATAGGCTTGTAAATTTGCAAGCAATGCCTGCTGAAATCTCAGAAACCTAATGAGTTTCTGAATAAGATTTCCAGTGAAGGGGGGAGCAGTTTGGTGCCTTGTATACCCCCTTGCTTTCCCCCTCAAATTAGTATGTATTATTGTTTAATTAACTTATGAATCACTTTTCAAAAGCATTGCAGGGTGAATTACAAGCAAACAATAAAAATAACTAAAGTAGGTTTGGAAACAATACCAGAAACAACAGTGGCTGCCTTTCAATATTTTTTAGAAAAAACATTGATGACTTCCGGTGCTTCCTGCCTTAATGGGTGCAGCTCCCTCATTAGTGGAGATCATTTGTGGAGAAAAACAAGGATGATTTTGAGGGTAATTGTCCTTGCAAGTTCCCCCCAGGGCTCGGGGGGAGTGAGCTTCACCCGCAGATCGTCTTGGCTCTCACTCCGGCATGGAATCTGGGAGGCAGGAAGATGCTGGGTGCCAAAGCACTTTGCCTAACGGTAACTCCCCGACACAGCCATTAAGATGCAGAGGCTCTTCTATTTATTAGGGTGAAATTGACTCTAATTTACAGACGTGTGCAGGATGGATGGGACAAGATTATAAACTGCCAAGTGAATCAGCTACTGAGTCGCAATGTTTAGAACTGGAAAGATCTCCTTTGTAGAAAAATATGGTATGTGAGGGGGGAGGGGAGCCCATGTTTGCAACATAAATGATTCGGCAAACCTCCCCCTAAATGCCAAAAAACTGATAAAAAGCAAGAGGAGAAAAAGAGAGTGGGGTTATATTTATGCATTAATATGGAAATAGAACTGTGTGAGAACATTGAAATGATTTGAGACTTCCGGTCGGCGCCAGCGCTTAATGGCGGTCCTTGCCTCGAGCTCCGAGGCAGGACTGCTCCGTGGGTTCGGGTCTGACCCGCTACGGCGAGCGGGGGACCCCTAAAATCACAGGCGCAGAAGCCTGTGAGCAAGGAGACTCGGTGGGCACGTTTGCGCCCCCCGGTATCGCGAAAGAGCCTTTTTAAAGGCTCCGGAGTGGCATCGGGAGTGAGCGCGGTGCTGAGAGTCGCAACCCAGCCAGCGGAGTGAAGCCGCGTCGCCATTAACGGAAAGCGCCGATTCCTTCCTGAATCTGAAATTCGACTATAATACTCGTGAGTAGGACTGAGCAATTTTAATAGGGACATCTAAACTGAATTTGGAAATTCGGCTGAAAACGGGGAAAGGTATAAATTAAGGAAGTCTGCCTCCCCCGGACTGCATGACTTTTAAAGCAACGGAAAAGTAGAACTAAGTAGGAGAGCCTACCCTTTTGGGGTGAGTCAAGAAAAAAGGGACAGAACATTAATTTCCACGATTTGGTAAAAGAAGTTTTGAGCTGGAGTGTAAGAGTGGATTTTCAGAAGTTTTTTGCTGTATGTAAACCCCCCTCCCGGGCCCGGGAGTGTCCTGTCTCTGAGCCTGTTGAAAAGGAAAGGAGTTTGACAGCTGTCAAAAGCTGTCAAACGGGCAACTCAAGGGAGAAAAGCTTGCTATTCAAGACCTCTCTGGATTAAATGTGATACAATTGAACTTAAGTGGTTGGAAACAAAGAAACAAGTAATGAAGTAAGAGATTGTTGGGAAAAGGCTACTAAGTAATTAGATTCCCCCTAGGGGGAATTCTGAGACATTACAATGGCTGCAGATGGAAATTTACTAGCGGAGATAGAAAGAACATTCTATCTTTTGGGAATTTTACAAGAACAGAGTCTTGCAATGAGTAAACAACTTGTGACCTTGACTTCTGGAACAAGCAGTTCTGCTGAAGGTAATGAGGAACTGTATGAGAAAAAATCTGCAGCTGAATTGGAAGAGATATCGCAAGAAGTGGAGACAAAACAAGCAAAGGAGAGAGCACCGATGGAAAGTACCAAGCTTTTACAAGTGGTTTATAAACAAAAAGACCTTTGGATTACATGGATTACAAATCTGCAAAAGAAGCGAAAGATGAAGGAGGAAGCCCCTGGAATACTTGGAATTCAAGAACTTAAAGGAAAGAAGAAATATGACTGGGACCTCCATCTTGACCTTGAATATGAAGGACTGGTGGAGCTTTTGCAGCAGTCGTTCTTAAGAGATTTGGAGGGAACAAAATCTCGCTTGATCGTGACAGAACTCCTTAGAGATCCAAAGACCAACATGAAGGACTACCAACAAAACCGGCGGAGAGGAACGGAAAGAGATTTAATGGCCTCGGACGTGAGGAACCCAGGCTAAGGACTGTTATTTTGGGCACATATTTGGAAGGGACAGAAACCGGGGATGGGAAGGGGAAAACAGAAATTTGTGTTTTTTCTTTTTTTTAATTTTCATTTATGGGTTCAGTCATTATGTTTATATTTTATAAAAATTGTGAAATCGATGGAAGGGAATTTGAGTCCAACTTAGGATAAGAGTTAAATTTTTTATAAAAGATGTAATATTAATATGGCAAGAAGGGAAAATGGTAACTTGTTGACACAATTATGGGAATTGGGATGCAGGAAGATTAACAAATTTAGGGAAACTTAAAAGAAATCGATTTGAATAATTAGACTGAGGAGTTGCTGAGGAGGTTTAAAACAAGGATGCAGGGAGGGGAAGGTATGGGGAAGTCCGAGAGATAAGGTTATGAAAAAATGGTTATGAAATTATACATGTTTATATGTTTGTATGTCTATGTATGGTGTATTGTTTGTCTATATTTTGTGTTTAAAAAAATTAATAAAATTTTTATTAAAAAAAAAAGAGAACATTGAAATGATTTAAAGCACTGGACTTCCACTTATCACAATTTGGACTATGGGTCGAAATTACATGGGAACAGAGGAAGAGAAAGAGCAAAAAAGTGTAAGTAGAGATGCTGCGTACGACATGATCAGAACAGGAAAAATGAAGAAACAAATGGAAAAATAAACTTCCACACAGGGAATTTACAGGATACAGAACTCCTTCTGCAGAAATAAAATTTATTAAATGTGTTAATATGAATGGAAGTCCAGAACTCTGTAGCTGTTGATAACAGACTACGATCAGGACTGAATGTAATTGGATTAATCAAGATTTCGGAAGCAGGAAGAAATAAGAACTTTGCACTCCGAAACCCAGCACACGGGAAGTCACACAAATTGTATAATTGGCTTTATAATTTATATATATTTGGATATGAATTGTAATTTGACATTGGTAAAATGTAGCTGTTATTGGACTTCAGTAATTGAAAATTAATAAAAAATATTTCTTTAAAAAATAGAAAAAACATTCATTGGTTGATTGATTGATTATATTTCTATGTTGCTTTTCATTCAAATGAATCCCAAAACAGCTTACAAACAATAAAAAAAATAGAACATCACAAATACAGCATAAATTATATAGAATAATTAACAAATCATCAATAAAAACAATTACGACCTATAAAACACTCTTAACAAAGCATCAACTAAAAAATGAGCTAAACATCACAATTAAAGCAAAAGTAATATTATATTATATGCCCTTCTAAAGGTTCATGAATGAGGCCTGTGTACATTTGAAGCACACCCACCCAAGAATCCTGGGAACTGTATTTTACCTATCAGAGAGCTACAATTCCCAGCACCCTTTAATAAACTACATTTCCTGGGACTCTTTGTTTGGGTGTGCACATGCTCAAAATGTGCTTTAAATGTATGGGGTGTGTGTGCAGTCCAAACTTTAGCCTACCTTACTTCATGTTTGAGAAGGCAGACCGAGCAAATAACAGAAATTGCAGAAATCACTTACCAGCATAGGCACCCAGAGCAGAGATGCTCTCTGAGAAGGGGTCCAGTGAAGAGCTGAAAGCCAGAACCAAGAGCTGCATCATTACAGCTATAGGAGTTCCTAAATCATTTTGCCATTTTTCTCCTAGGACCTAGCCGGAACATCACAGACAATTAAGTCCCACTCAGCAAACAGTGGCACCACCAGGGCTGGTGCTGCATTAGGCAGAGCAAGGCAGCTGTCTCAGGCAGCAGATGCCAAGCTGCAGGGGATGGATAGAGCTCTGAGTGCCACCTGGCTACCATGGGACCCCTACACTAGCCTCCTGTCCTCTGGCGCAGTGGAGGACACCGTCCATTCACTAGTACTGAAGGAAAATCCCAGTCCAATTGGCTTCCGTATGTTCCTTGGGAGAGAGCAACATCTTGTCCTTCACCTCAGGCAGCAAAATGTCTTGAACTGGCCCTGGTCGCCTTAAGTGCTAACCTCCAGTTCACAGATCTGAAGCCCTACAGCCCAGGAAATCCACAAATGACAATGCCAGTACTGTGTATGGAGTGAAACTCTACACCAGGTGTGAGGAACCTTTGGTCTTCCAGATATTGCTGAACTACAACTCCCATCAGGCCCAGTAAACATGGCCAATGGCCAGGGATGGTGGGAGTTGTAGTTCAGCAACATCTGGAGGGCCAAAGGTTCCCCCTACCTGCTCCAGACAGTCAATCTATCCTGAGTTCAAAAGTTCTAAAACCTGGGTGGGACCAAGGAGGAGCAAAGGCCAGAGTCAGGTCAGTTGATGGTGGAGCCAAGGGATACAGCCTAGTATTCTTTTGGGGGGGGGCAGCTCTAGGACCTCTTTTGCTAGGCCTGATTGTAGAATGCAGAGCAAAAGCAGAATATTCACAAAAACTGGCAACTTAGAAATGAAAATATCTGAACGGGAACAATGGTTAGTACTAGATTTCTTCACTTTGAACTATGCAATTGCTCCCCACAGTAGAGCAGACATGAATAAGCTTCTTTTGTGCAATGGAGGGGTGACCACTGGCTTCAGAGTCAGTACAGCACTGGTCATCAACCCACTAGCGGGTTGCGGCCTGATCCAAGGTGGGTCACAACAGGAGCACCTAGAACCATGCTCCGTATTCATTTTTTCTGGAACCATAAACCTTCTAGGTCCTGAATAGCTGGGAAGAAGCAAGAACACTCTCTTTCATCTGGGATGTTAGGTTTGTACAGTTGAGATTCCTGCATTGCAGAGGCTTGGATTAGATGACCCTTGATGTCCCTTGCAACTCTAAAATTCTATGATATATAGGATTGGAGGCCAAACTCATCTAACTGCAGCCCCTTATTTATTTGCTATATTTCTATATGTAGAGGTGTGCCAACTGATTTCTGTGGTATTTAAGCAACTATGTGTTCCATGGAGCACGATATTGGTATAGATGGATGTATACACAAATATATATGATGGCCAGTTCAAGATTATACTTCTCACACACAATGAAATTAACTGTAGTCTATGACAGTTTATGTTATTTTGCTAGTCTTTAAAGTGCCATGAAAAAAACCTCTTAGTTGATTTTGCTACAACATACCAACAAGGCTACTGCTCTGGAAATTGTTAGGTAGATGCAGTGATTTCACACATCAAACAATACAATTACTCTCCCTAGTGGGGCATCTGTAAACACACATCAGATTAAAAAGTTGATTTCACGAAAGGCAGCAAATGACATGTAGACTGCAGAAAATCTTGGAAAGCTTCATTTCAAAAGATGCATTTCCCAATCCTTGCCATCTAGAAATGTTTCATATTTAGATTCCATAAATATTCTCTCCCCCACCCATGTCGTTCCTGTGGTTTTTGAGCTTCAGATTGTCAAAATGCAATGGAAACTACAGATTTAAAAGGCAGGAAAGTAATATAGGCAAACTTTTCTTTAAAAAATTAATGCTGTGTTTTATTGTATTCCATAGGAAACTGTGTGTGTGGCTATTCCAAGGGAAAGCAAACCTTTGGTATGTCTGGGTTTAAGAAAAAGGAATTTGGTAAAGCTAGTATTGTTGTTACCCTGGGCCCCTTTGGAAGCCACACTTCCATAATGCAACAGTTACTGAAATGAAAAAGGAAGGTTAGAAATCAAGGCAGAAGCTCTTGCATTATCCCCAGTAAAACTAGTGCAATGAACTGAGTGTGATTAGGAATCTATAGTTCTCCAGATGTTGCTGTACCACAACTCCCATCATCTTCAACCATTAGCTATGTTGGCTGGGGCTGATGGGAGTTTGAGCCCAAGAACCACATGTTCTTTATCCCTGTTGCAAAGTATGTGCATATCTAAAAATGCCCCTGATTCTTGAAATAAAAATATACCGTAACTTCTGACAATGTCATGATCCTTTCGAGTAGTGACCTCCTCCATGACCTCTCTCAGGTAGACTCACCTGCATTCCTGCAGCCAGCTCTCAATCTTATTGGATGAGCTCCCTGTTGGAAACAAAGAAAAAATGCTAGGGCTCCTCACAGACTGGATAAGTTACTGTGATGATCCACATCTCTGCTGGGGCCAAATGCAGCCATCTAAGGCTTGTTAGCCAGCCTCTCAGCAAACCACACGGGCAGGATGCCTGATGTCGCCACTACATAGGCAGTAGCAAAAGAAGAGGAGAATGAGGAAGAGGAAGAACACCTGAAAGTGAGTGATGGAATGAATGTGGTTTAAACATATGAATAACTAAATGAACTCATTATTTGGTAGTCATTATGGCCCTGTGAGCCCTTATTGCTGCTGAACAGCTGCATAGCAGTGGAGGGTGCATAGAAGCAGGAGGAAGAATGCTTAAGCCTTCCCTTCCTTCAGCTTTAGCTCTACAACCACCTCCTCTAGCAGCTTTCCCTCCAGCTACCTGATTGCTTTTCCTTAAAAAAAGTGTGTGTGTGTGTGTGTGTGTGTGTGTGTGTGTGTGTACACAGACACACACACACACACACATCAAATATACAATAAAAAAGAAAAAACATACATACATACATACATAAAAGGTAAAGGTACCCCTGCCCGTACGGGCCAGTCTTGACAGACTCTGGGGTTGTGCGCCCATCTCACTCAAGAGGCCGGGGGCCAGCGCTGTCCGCAGACACTTCCGGGTCACGTGGCCAGTGTGACATCGCTGCTCTGGCGAGCCAGAGCCGCACACGGAAACACCGTTTACCTTCCCGCTAGTAAGCGGTCCCTATTTATCTACTTGCACCCGGGGGTGCTTTCGAACTGCTAGGTTGGCAGGCGCTGGGACCGAACAACGGGAGCACACCCCGCCGCGGGGATTCAAACCGCCGACCTTTCGATCGGCAAGCCCAAGGCACTGAGGCTTTTACCCACAGCGCCACCCGCGTCCCCTATACATACATACATACACATACATACATACATACATACATACATACATAAAAAAGGAAAAAGGAAAAGACCTCCAAAACAAACATTTTCAAATACACTTCTACATAAGGAGTACAAGCCGCCTCTGACTGCTTTTCTACATGGTTGCCTGCTGTGCTGGACCTCTTTTCTCCATGCCCAACGAATTCTGCGGGGCGGCAGAAGGCTAAAAGGGGAAAAACCGAGCCGACACTCGGCGGAAGGGGTGCACGCGCCCTCACTCACTTGGCGCAGGCCCGCTCACTTGGTGTGCTGCCTGCTGTGGCCAACACCGCAAGAAGCAGCCAGCTGAGCCAGGAGGCACCTGCCCTCCAGCTGCTGCCCACCTCCTCCAGTCCTAAAAAAAGGTTGACAACTCTGGGAAAGGGGGGGCACCGGAGGGATCTTTGCACCACAGCGCCAGATATGCTTAAGACGGCCCTCGCTCTGACACCAGATGTAAGCTTGGGGTACCATTCTAGACTCTGGAACTAACAGTCTTGCACTGAACCATGGTCATGAACACTTACTTAAAAATGCAAGGAAGTCTGCCCTGTTGCATTTGCAGGCCCTCCTGCTGATTTGGCTGAGGGAGGCCCTCAACTGCTGCCACAAAGTGCCTCCTTGATAACACTACTGAGTAAGTGCAGCAGAGGAGAATGGAGCTCAAGGCGACTATCACAGAGGAGGAAGCAGGGTGGAAGAGCACAACATCCCTTTCTAAACAGCCACATTCCTGTTTCCACCCATCATTTATTATTTGCACACAACCCATGTTCTGACAAGGATGCGCTGCCATCCTGCCCAGTGAGACCGCTTAGAAAGCAACACACACAGAAGCTGCTGCATTCAAAGTGGGTCTCCCCCCACCCAGAAAATGCACTTTATGTTTGCTTTGCCAATAACATATGAGTTGCATAATGTAACATGGGTGTTATTTTATTTGTGCTGGGGGGGAGTGGAACTTCTGCCCATTTTCCATACTTGTAATAGAAAAAGAGAAAGTGAGAGAAAGTGGGGGAGGAAGAAGTGCAGAGGGGATATTGAAATGACTCAGGGTGTCATGAGTGCCTGACTACAGGGGTGGGGGAGGCTGACAGCTCAGTGGTGGAGCTCATGGCTTGCTTAAAAAATCTCTAGAATCTCAGCTAGCAAAAGGCTAGGGTGGGGTAGTGCCCTCCAGATGTTGCTAGGCAGTTTAGCCCTGGCCAGCATGACCAATGGTGAGAACTGGAGTTCAGCAACATCTGGAGCAACTTTTGTCTCCATGGACCACTTGAAAATGCTAATGATGGGCCACTTAATGAGTTTTCTGCCTGCTGTAGCGATTGTAATGTAACATACTAGATGCTCTGCAATTTTAAATTGTCTTTTATTGCTTCTTTTGTTTCCCTGCATATGCTATATATTTTACTGTAATGCAATTTGCATTCCATAGTATTCAAATGGCAAGGTAGTACTAGAGAGGTCAAAAATAAAAGAAGCAATAGAGATGCAATTTAAAATCTGTATGAGTACTGAATGTCCCATGCTGTGGATCACCTGAATGAAGTTGTGGACCACTGGTAGTCCCCAGACCACAGTTTCAAATGCCCTGATTTAGAGGATGCCACAGTGGCTACCTACCCCTGAGTTAGAGAATCATCTCTAGGAGAGGTTCTTGTTGTCGGAACAAACAGGGCTGGGTTTAATGGGCCAGTGGCTTGATGCAGGAAGAAGGAAAGGCACCATGGGAACAAAGCTCTCACCACATCACTCTGCTGAGTGTTTGCATGTGTGAGTATTGGCTCACAGCCAAAGTGATAGAAATGCCTATCAACAAATTGACTCAGTTTGTAAGTATTACTTTCTTCTTTCCCACCCATGCCCAAATGCTATTTCAGAGAGGCCGCCCACCTTTCTTTCTAAATCACCACATTAGTGTTTGTGCATTTATCTGTTCATTCATATAGTTATATGCATATGAAAAGTTTTGAAAATGGGGGTTGAAAACAAGAAGTTTGGGGCTGACAAGCATGGGCAGGCAAGCCCATTAGCACCACACACATACAGGTTCTGCATCAAACATTTTGACCTTCTGTCCAAGCTCAATTCTGGAAAGAAAAAACTTATTTGGGCAGACCACAGTGAGGTTGCTTCCAGAGCATTTCCATTTTTCTAAATATTATATTAGATGATGATAGATAGATGATAAATAGATGATAGATAGATAGATAGATGATAGATAGATAGATAGATAGATAGATAGATAGATAGATGATAGATAGATAGATGATAGATAGATAGATAGATAGATAGATAGATAGATGATAGATAGATAGATATAGATGATAGATAGATAGATGATAGATAGAGATAGATGATAGATAGATAGATAGATGATAGATAGATAGATAGAGATGATGATAGATAGATAGATGATAGATAGATAGATAGATAGATAGATAGATAGATATAGATAGATGACAGATAGACAGATTAGATAGATAGATAGATGATAGATGATAGATAGATAGATGATAGATGATAGATAGATAGAGATAGATAGATAGATAGATAGATAGATAGATGATAGATAGATAGATAGATGATAGATAGATAGATAGATGATAGATAGATGATAGATAGATGATAGATAGATAGATAGATAGATAGATAGATGATAGATAGATAGATAGATCAGTGTTTCCCAACCGGTGTTCCGCGGCACACTAGTGTGCCGCTGGACGTTGCCTAGTGTGCCGTGGGAGTAGTGGCGTAGCGTGGGGGGTGCCAGGGTGCCAGTCGCACCGGGCGCAACATCTGCGGGGGGCGCGAGTCCAGAGGGAAGGGACAAGTTCCTTCCTCCGCCGGGCTCCCCGCCGCCACCGCCAGCCTTGCGCCCTAGCGCGGCGCGCGCCCCCCGCCGCCGCTGCGGCTGCGCTCCACTCACTGCTCGCAGGAGGAGCAGCCACTGCAGCAGCGCTGACACCGCCACCGACGCCTGGCCGGGCACGGGCAGCCTCCGCACGCCGACGCCATCCCCTTCCCCCTTTTTTTCCAGAGCTGGGGGAGGGGGAGGTTTTAAAAGGGGGTCTTGCATTGGCGATCCTGCAGCACTTTGGGCCGCACGACGCGAGCGCGCAGCACGGATCAGCCACGACCCCACCCCGTGCATTTCCCGGGGAAAAGTGCTCCACGTGGGAGGCGCGTTTCCCCTTCATTCCCTCTCGTGCAAATCCTCCTTGGGTTCCCTCCCCCGTCTTTCCTCTCCCTACCTCACAAAAGCCTCACCTCGTCGCCTCCTCGCTGCCTCTCGCCTCCGCAGGAGCGTTTCCCTCCGCGGAAGAAGGAGCAGGGCGCTTTTGCAACTTTGCCTTCCCCGCCCCACCACGGAGCACATTTTCCTCGCCCCCCCCAACCCCCGCATGTAGAATAGAAGCCCTCCAGCCTCCACGGTGCACAAACTCTCCCCTCTGCAACGAAGCGCTTTGTTGCATATCTTTGGTGAGGTTTTTAGGCAGTCTTGGTGCACCTTAAATCAGCGCTAATTGCGCCTGGACGCAGTATTTACTTCTGAGTAGGCCCCCTTCTCCCCCCCCCCCCCCCCCGTAGCACCTGACGTTGCTATTCGTATCATCAGGTTTGTTTGTTGATAATTTAATTGTTTTAAAAGCATCATGCTAAAGAGCTCTCTCCCACCCCCAGACCCTTGGGCAAAACAGAAACACACACATACACAAACACAGAGATTGAGCCCTGCAGGTTTTATGAAATGAATGGATTCTGAATGCCTGTTTCAGTGGCTTGTCTGCCTTAGGCTGCTGGGCCAGACACCTGTTACACGGTGCAGTCCGTAAGCTGTGAGCGCTGCTACCTGCCGCCGAGACCACGTAACGACAGTCTTGAAAGACCTACATTGGCTCCCAGTACCTTTCCGAGCACAATTCAAAGTTTTGGTGCTGACCTTTAAAGCCCTAAGCGGTTTCGCTCCAGTATACCTGAAGTAGCGTCTCCGCCACCATCGTTCAGCCCAGACACTGAGATCCAGTGCCAAGGGCCTTCTGGCAATTCCCTCACTGTGAAAAGTGAGGTTACAGGGAACCAGGCAGAGGGCCTTCTCGGTAGTGGCGCCCGCCCTGTGGAATGCCCTCCCATCAGACATCAAAGAGATAACCATTACCTTCTATGCTGTTACTATTTTTTTATTTTTTTTTACATAAGTAAAAAGTGACCTTTCCCCATCTGGCATGGTGGTGTGCCTCGAGATTTTTTTCATGAAACAAGTGTGCCTTTGCCCAAAAAAGGTTGGGAAACACTGAGATAGATGATAGATGATAGATAGATAGATAGATAGATAGATAGATAGATAGATAGATAGATGATAGATAGATAGATATAGATAGATTAGATAGATAGATAGATAGATAGATAGATAGATAGAGACAGATGATAGATAGATGATAGATAGATGATAGATAGATAGATGATAGATAGATAGATAGATAGATAGATAGATGATAGATGATAGATAGATAGATAGATAGATAGATAGATGATAGATAGATAGATGATAGATGATAGATGATAGATAGATGATAGATAGATGATAGATAGATGATAGATAGATAGATGATAGATAGATAGATAGATAGATGATAGATAGATAGATAGATAGATAGATGATAGATAGATAGATAGATAGATAGATAGATAGATAGATAGATAGATAGAGATAGATATAGATAGATATAGATAGATATAGATAGATGGATGGATGGATGGATGGATGATACTGGCTCAAGGAGTTGGCCCTATTGGATCAGACCAAAAATCCATCTAATTCAGCACCCTCTTCTCAGAATAGCCATCCAGAGGCCTAAGGGAAGCCCACAAACAAAAGGATGCATCAAAGCAAGCTGTACTAAAGGAATGAAAAATTGGGCCATTGATTTCAATGGGACCGAAGTTCAGCTCACTTAGCCTGGGTCAGCTTCTCCCTACCACCCCCATAAAAGATTGTATACACTGTCTGAAAGCACCTCACATTGAAATATTATTATATAATGAGAGTAGGAGTGAATGTGTGTAAGCAGTTTTCCCACCTTGCAAGAAACCATCCTCCAAGAATGAGGGTTCAAGAGCTTTTTCGGGTGTGCAGGATGCTTCCTCTTCAGCATGGGACCCCTCTTCTTCTACAGCCACACTTGGCTTGGCCCATGCCCTCCGCCGCTCCCAGGAGGAGTGGCTCAGCCAGGAGGTGAAGTTGTTGTCCATGACTGGCAAGACCCTAGGGAAGAACAAAATGTCGGGGTGCTGAGGTCATAGGATGCTCAGCTTTGTAGCAGTTATCAATCTTCTCCACTTGGGGCAGTTTTGAGTTACTTGACTGCCTTTTCATATCCTGGGCAAGGAGTTTCTCTTCACCACCACCATCCCAGAAAATACACTTCACAGTCAAAGAGATAGCTATGGTTCCTGGTGGAACATTCCTTCATTAGGCAAGTTGCTGAGTTGCCCAGAACAGGCAAACAACTGGAGTTTTGGTTAAAAGTTGGAGATGGACAGATCTGACCATTTTGTTTTCTCTCCATTTTCTCATCTTAAGTTTGCTTTGCACCATTTATGCAGCTAACAGATTGAGGTTCAATCCTGACAAGACAGAAGTACTGTTCTTGGGGGACTGGGGGTGTGCAGTTGTGGGGGACTCCCTGGTCCTGAAGAGGGAAACCGTGCCCCTGAAGGACCAGGTGTGCAGCCTGGGGGTCATTTTGGATTCACAGCTGTCCATGGAGACATAGGTCAGTTCTATGTCCAGGGCAGCTGTCTACCAGCTCCATTTGGTACACTGGCTCAGACCCTACCTGCCTGCAGACTATCTCACCAGAGTGGTGCAGGCCCTAGTTATCTCCCACTTGGACTACTGCACTGCACTCTACGAACAATGGGCACCCAAACAGCAGCATCAGGATAGCTCTTTCAGGATGATGGTTATGTTTCTGGAATGATCTGGAGCAGAGAATGCCAATGCACCCCCAAGGGGGAGATCAATCCTGCATGAGGCCTCCCTATTCCAAAGGGCTACAGCAATGATGGAGAACTTGCAGCCCTCCAGCTGCTGTTGGTCTCTGGTTCTCTTCAGAGCCAGCTAGGGTTGGGCAAATATGTCACTTTCAGCTCCTCTGAGTTTTTCATCTTTCCAGCTCTCTTCTCTGCATTTCTTCATCAGCTGCATTTTTGTGCGGGTTTCAGTTTGAATATTGTTTCTGGAAAGGCAAGTTTCCTAAGTTTGTCTTTCCATGCAAACTGAATCTCATTTATCCCTGTCCCTAGCCCCCAACACCACCTGGAGAGTCACAGGTTCCCCACCTAAGAGGAGTGGTAGCTCAATTCTTCCTCTTTGGGGTGATTTAGTTTTTCAAGGCATGCCCCAGTAGGACGTGTTGAATTTTTCAACTTCCAAATTCCTAAAATGAGGGATGCTAAGAAGTTGTAGCATGACTTGGGCATTTAAAATATATTTTGGTTAAATTAATATAATTTTGCCTTTCTTGGTAAGTAAAATGTGTGTAAAATTGCACTGAAATCATTAAAAATGATTCCAGAGTACTTGCAGTTATATTAGCTCTATAAGGCTCTTTGAAGGGACACGGGTGGTGCTGTGGGTTAAACCACAGAGCCTAGGACTTGCCAATCAGAAGGTCGGCAGTTTGAATCCCCATGATGGGGTGAGCTCCCATTGCTTGGTCCCTGCTCTTGCCAACCTAGCAGTTCAAAAGCACGTCAAAGTGCAAGTAGATAAATAGGTACCGCTCCAGCGGGAAGGTAAATGACATTTCCATGTGCTGCTCTGGTTCACCAGAAGCGGCTTAGTCATGCTGGTCACATGACCCGGAAGCTGTATGCCGGCTCCCTCGGCCAATAAAGTGAGATGAGCACCGCAACCCCAGAGTCGGCCACAACTGGACCTAATGGTCAGGGGTCCCTTTACCTTTACCTAAAGCTCTTTGAACACTCTCCAAATGACATCCCACACCAGGCCTGTTTCACGCTCCCTTCTAGTACTTTTGTCTGGCTAAAACACACCATTGAACTGTAATACAGAGGTACCTCGGGTTACATACACTTTAGGTTACAGACTTCACTAACCCAGATATAGTACCTCAGGTTAAGAACTTTGCTTCAGGATGAGAACAGAAATCATGCAGTGGCACAGCGGCAGTGGGAGGCCCCATTAGCTAAAGTGGTGCTTCAGGTTAAGAACAGTTTCAGCTTAAGAACGAACCTCCGGAATGAATTAAGTACTTAACCCAAGGTACCACTGTAATGCCTTTGCCTTGTCTGGGTGGAAGGAGGAGAGAAATGGATGTGTAAAAACCTCTGATCTCAAGGTCATGGGGTCCAGGGCAAAAAAATGTACATTGCAGGGAACTGGATTAAATGACCCTTGTGGTCCCTTCCAACTCTGTGATTCTATTATTATTATCATTTAGCATTACATGACATTTTCAGAAGGTAAAATTAAAATTCTTTGGTTGTCCGAAAGCAGTTTATGCGCTTCTTTGTCAAATGTAAATTTATGAAGCTAACTGTTATCCAGCCATAAAAATAATAGCAGATTTGAATTCCTCATACTCAAAAAAAATATTTTAAGACCTCTTGCTGAATAAATTAGCAAAAATTATGTTTTACCCCCTAAAATGACATGCCTATCCCTTCTTGTATGTCACAGTTTGGGCTTTATTTGCTTTGGCTGAGGAGCTGTGACTTGATTCTGCCCTGACTTCCAGATGGGACTTCTGGGAAGTAAGTGTTTTTCTGAGCATTTGAAGTTGGGTTTGTTTTTTGTTTCCGTGCCAAGAAATGTATGGTAATGTGAGCCATCTCCCTTTACCTCCAGGAGAGTGAGGAGCAGAGCTGTTATCACAAGCTGCACTCGCGGCCACAAGAGGCTGGTTTCCTCCTTGCGGTTTGAGCCTGCAATGGTTAGAGTGGGTGGTGGGACAAGCCAAGTTTCCGGATTAGATGTGACGTTTGTCATGTTGGCTCCCTTCTGTCATGTTGTTTCTTAACAAATGAGCTGATGTGGAGGTGGGAGTAAACTAGATCAGGACCCCCCTGCATGGGAGAAAGGGACTTTAACCCCATGTCTCAGCTGTGGTCCCCATCAGAATTCCACACTCCCTGCCCCACCAGGGCTGCTTTTTGCAATTCGAGGGAAGCTTCCATTAGTGCCAATGGGCAGAGTCATCCTCTTGCAAATGGAAACATAGGAAGAGTTGCCATATGCTGAGTCAGCCCACTGGAAACTAGCTCAGTCTTGTCTTCGCTAACTGTCATAGGTTCTCCAGGATTTGAGGCAGCTCTACTTGGATACACTGGGGATTTTTAAATAAAGTGAATGTTAGAAAGACACTGTTAAATATCTGGTCCTCTCCCATCTGGGAAACCAAATCTGAGAGGTACTGCCTCCCGGGAACTTCTAACCAATCTGAGAGGGTGCAGACCTGGGTTCATCTCATTAAGGACGCGAAAGGCACAGCAGTGAGCACATCCTAAATTAAAAAGTGCTTGTAGTTTACAGGAGAGAAAGAGATGGCAAGCAGGGGAAGACATTTTGAAATCTGAAGACATTCCCTGGTACAGCTAGAAGAGAAGGGCTAGAGCTCCTCTGAGAGAGTCTGTATTGGAAGGGAAAGGGCTGTGGCTCAGCAGCAGAGCATCTGCTTTTGCATGCAGAAGGTCCTTGGATCAATCCCAAGCATCTCCAGGTAGGGCTGGGAAAGACCTGTCTAAAATCCTGGTGAGCCCCTGCCAGTCAGGGCAGACGACACACAGCTAATTGGACCAGTGCCCTGACTCAGTAGAAGGCAGCTTCTTATGTTCTTTCCTGCCTCTCTAGTCCTTCCAGGGCTCTTCCACATGGCAATTTATTGTGAACTCAGCGCTGCTCATGCATGCCAGTTCTGCGCAGCATAAAAACAGAGAGGTTTTTAATATTTGACGTTTTCTATGTTTTAATATTTTGTGGGAAGCTGCTCAGAATGACTGTGGCAACCCAGTCAGATGGCTGGGGCATATTATTATTATTATTATTATTATTATTATTATTCACCCAACACCATCTTTTCCCATTTATTCCTGGTTTGCCATTTCCATGGAAAAGCCAATAAGTTTTTTTTTAAAACCCTGCTGAAATGATAAATCTAGATTATTTCTTTTTTAATCATTATGAGTTTGTTCTGAACTGCATTAATTGTTTATTGAAATATTTGTTTTTGCTTTACTGATATGGTAGTGTGTGTGTGTGTGTGTGTGTGTGTGTAAGCTTATATTGGATAGAAACATTGTTTGCTCCTTTTTAAAGCTTTGTTATTATTATGAGCCACTTTCAGCTCCATATTGTTGCTGAAAAGTGGTATACAAATATTAAATCAAAATCACATCACATTTTGGGGTGTTTATGAGATGGCACTGTGATGAAAACCATGAATCAACTGAATCAACAATAAACTGCCGCGTAAAAACATCCCCCCTCAAGAGCATTCTCTTTCTCCATTTGCAGCCCACTCCCATCCCTCCCTAGTGCTCTCCTCCATCACCTCCTTCTCAATATCCTCCTCATTCCCATTCCATATCACCTCCACTCCTTCCCTCACCTCTGTTCAGAGGATGCTGTCAGAATTAAGCCTGACTGTTCAGAAGCAGGTCACAGCCTGTGAGTGACAGGGCCGCACCTTAATTCGTCGGCTGCTGCTACTTACCCGGCCCTGGGAAGAGCATGGTGGCTTCTAAGGTGAGCCCCTGGTGAATCTGGCATCGCGCTCTGCATCTCAGCTGCCCAGGGTAGGACTATTGGAGGCCCTTGCCCATTCCTGCCCCTCTCCCCACCTCACCCAATCTGCGTCAGCAGAGACTGGAGGAAGCTGATCTGTTTTCAAGAGGAAACTTTCGTGCTCATCTCTTTTGTTTTGTTTTTTCTCATGAAAACCTCAAACGGTGGCTCACATCCGGCTCTCACCCACCCCGTGAGGGAAAAGCTTAATGGGCTGCTGAGTGAAAGCGGTAAAGGAGGCAGCAATGTACTGGCCTCTTAGGCTTGGCCTGGAACTATTTATTCCCCCCCCCTCTCCTTACTACTTGCCCTTTTCTGTGCAGTCTTGAACGCTATGCTTGCTTGCTTGTTTAAAATAGTTCACCATGCTTCATTGTGGTGTTCAACAGTGGAACAAACAGTGGCAGAGTCTCCTTCCTTTGAAGTTTTAAAGCAGAGGCTGGATGACCACCTGCCCTGTATGATCTAGTTAAGATTTCTGCATGGCGGGGGCTGGACTAGATGACCCTCAGGGTCCCTTTCAATTCTATGATTATATGATTCCATTATCAGAATAATGTGACATGAAAGCAGTTTGCACACAGTATATAAATGCAATATATATTGAACAAATGCAACAATGCACATCAGACTAAAAAAAACGCCACCCATAAAACTGAAGAACATATACAAATGGAAAGAACAAGCTTTGTCTTGGGAAGGGCCGTATAGCTCAGTGGCAGAGCATCTGCCTTGCATGCAGAAAGTGTAGACAATACTGGGCATAAGGGATCTTTCTGTATCCCTGTGTCTTTGGAATGTGGCAATCAGAACTGTGCATGCATATCACTGAAAGGAGAAGCTGGGTGTGATGGTGCCAGAGTTTCATGTAACTCACAGCTACCTTTCACCATCTGCCTTGAAAATATTGGGAATGCCTGTAAACGACAGGTTGATTCCTCAATTTCCTTCCTGGAAATTGCCCTTTGCTTGGCCTTGGGCTGGTCACTCCTCCTTAGTCTCTGTTCTCCATCTACAAAATGGGAAAAACACATATTTTGTAGGATCGTTGATATGGGAATGAAATCGAGATGTAACTAGAGAATGAAAAATACTATAAAGCCAATCCTGACCATAGTAATACATCAGTGGTGCTCAAAGCACTGCAATGCACACACCTTGACAAGTTCCCTGCAAGCCAGGCCCATATTCCTGTGGCCACGACATCACATTTACAGGTGAGTTTAAGTATCTCAAAAGACAGTTTTCTGTGAAAATTTTGCAGGTGCACAGATAATGCAACAGAACAGTGGTCCAGACCACAGCATAATCCCCTTCTCTTCCTGGCAGACGCCTTCTTAGAATCTCTGTCTTAGAAAGAGCTTTTTGCTTGTTGAGTGAGGTGTTTTCCATGAATTGTGAACCTTGACATCTCCCCCTCCTGACAGGAATATGGAAAAGGGTTCCAGGCAAGACATACATTCCTTCCTCTCCCCAGAATACAATCTTTTCCTGAGGACAAAAACAAGAGAGTCACGAGGTGTTGCAAGATGTTCAAAGCCTTGAGCTGTAACTGTGGAGGGTTGCCAGCTGACCCAAAGAGAACTGCCAGCAACTTGAGTAGCAGCTTGACCTGCAGAAATAAAACAGATGGAGCTTTTCAGGGCATGAAGATAATAACAATCACTTGCAGCTGCAAGCACATCTGAGAGCCTGTGTGGTGTACATATTTGGTGTTAACCGCCCTGAGCCCAGTCTTGGCCAGGAAGGGCGGGGTATAAATTATTATTATTATTATTTAGTAGATATTTTATTGTTGTAGGAATATTTATAAACCACCAACTCATAAAAAATAAATTTGGGTAGGTAGCCGTGTTGGTCTGACACAGCCAAAATAAATTAAAAAATTAAAAAATTGTCCAGTAGCACCTTAGAGACCAACTAAGTTTGTTCTGGGTATAAGCTTTTGTGTGCATGCATCTGAAGAAGTGTGCATGCTCATAAAAAATAGTGAGACTGCATAAAACAAAATAATTAAACCAGCATAACGCTATCATGGGTGGCGCGGGTGGCGCTGTGGGTAAAACCTCAGCGCCTAGGACTTGCCAATCACATGGTTGGCGGTTCGAATCCCCGTGCCAGGGTGCGCTCCCGTCGTTCGGTTGCAGCGCCTGCCAACCTAGCAGTTCGAAAGCACCCCCGGGTCCAAGTAGATAAATAGGGACCACTTACCAGCGGGAAGGTAAACGGCGTTCCGTGTGCTGCGCTCGCTCGCCAGATGCAGCTTGTCATGCTGGCCACGTGACCCGGAAGTGTCTGCGGACAGTGCTGGCTCCCGGCCTATAGAGTGAGATGAGTGCACAACCCTAGAGTCTGTCAAGACTGGCCCGTACGGGCAGGGGTACCTTTACCTTTTTAACGCTATCATTAAAGCTATAACATTGTAATAATACAGAACAAATGATTGACAGTAAAGCAGATTAATCCTTAAAAAAATGCTTGGCAAAACAAACACATTTTCAGTAGGCAACATCAGATTGTAGGTGCCTTTCTAATTTCCCTAGGAACAGTGCTTGTGGTAGAGCACCAGACTCTTAATATCCGGGTCGTGGGTTTGAGCCCCACATTGGCAAAAGAGATCTGCATTGCAGGATGTTGGAGTAGATGACCCCCCCCTTGACCCTTCTAACTCTACAAGTCTATGATTCCAGGAAATTACTGGTGCTCCTGCATGAAGAACATTGGTGAATAAAAGTACCTGTATGAACAGTTTTAGTCACTAGGTGGCAATGGATGTACTGCTATTGGAGAGAAGTCAGGCGTTAGTTTCCTATTACTGTCAGAGAGAGAGAAAATCCTTGCCTGACATCCTGACTGGTGTGACCTCTAAGCTACCCATGACGTGGTGACAGAAGAGGAATGTAGGTATTCACAACAGTGGGAAGGTCCCTAGCTCACTGACAGAGCAGAGTCCTTGGTTCAATCCCTGTTTGATGTCATCTTGTGTTTTCATTTGTTGGAAGCCAACCAGAGTGGCTAGGGTGGGGAGCCAGGCTGAGAACGAGGGTGGGGGTGGAATACAACAAGCCTTTCAATCAAGGACATAAGAGGGACACCAACTTGTGATAGCCAGAGGATGAAACTCTTCACCCATTACAATGGCTAAAGGCAGTTATCCACCAGCTAAATTGACTGCTAGGAGGTGGCATTGTAAATACATGGTAAAAGGTAAAGGTAAAGGGACCCCTAACCGTTAAGTCCAGTCGCAGACGACTCTGGGGTTGCGGCGCTCATCTCGCTCTATAGGCCGAGGGAGCTGGCATTTGTCCACAGACAGCTTCCGGGTCATGTGGAAATGCCGTTTACCTTCCCGCTGGAGCAGTACCTATTTATCTACTTGGCGTGCTTTCAAACTGCTAGGTGGGCAAGAGCTGGGACCGAACAACGGGAGCTCACCCCGTCACGGGGATTCAAACTGCCGACCTTCTGATCGGCAAGCCCATGAAATAAATAAATTACCAGCTTGCTGGCTCAGCAGCTGTGGGGATTCCCAGGCTGGGCATTTCCAAAACAATGTTCTATAATGAATAGCCAGAGCTAAATCCAATTTGAAAGAGAGAGTGGCAGAAGCCCTAAGCGGTGTGTTCCACTTTTGAAAATGGCATCTTAAATGCATTTCCATCAATAATTGACAATCCCTGGGTGGGAGCTGTACAGGACCTGGTTACACTGTGCGGCGAATGGAGAGAAGTAGTATTAATGCCAGGCTCTTTGCACATGCTTTTGTTGTTGTTGTTCAGCAATGGGCTGGAAAGGTCTTATTTTAACCAAGGATGCTTTTCAGAATCATGAGAGCAGGCACTGCACTAGGGATCAGGTAGGAGTATGGTGCTGAACTTTACAAGACAATCCCATTGGCCACTCACTTGGATGGGTAATTTTGCTGCAAATCTGTGCCTTGCTGGAGTGTGTGTGTGCAGTATGGAAGTATATACAGGCAAGGCATAAGTGAAGCAGGGAAAAGCCCTTTGACTGCAGGGATCTGTACCAGGAGCTATCTAGACATAAGTCAGTTTGTTCACAGATCTGCTGCACAGGGACTAGTAGCCCCAGAGATGGAGGAGGAGAAATGAGAGCTGAAAGGGACTGATCATCCTATCATCATCCAACTCTCTCCCCTTTGCTGTCCCAGACTCGGGAACATCCCATATTCCAGGCCTGAAGCTGTCGGGATGCTTTCTTCTGACCCAGTTAGTTCGCCAGCCAAAACTAAAAAAAGAAAGAAAAACACCCAGCCTTCCAAGATGTGTAAATTAGTGATGAAGCTGGTGATTTAAAGCTGCAATGAGCTTCTTCTGCTTGGTGGGGAAGTCTCTCTGCAGCGATGTCTCTCAGCCATTGAGGCACAGGCTGAAAGCAGATGATGGTAATAAAGCGAAGCGGAGCTGCAGCTGGACACCCTGCCTGGATGGGAGATGGGCAAGAGCTCCCCAAGGAAAATGATGTAAATGCAATCAGTAAATGTGGTGTGGTGTCAGAGTCATTCTCCCCACCCCACATGCATACAAGATGCTGTATACACTAAAAACAATTTGATTCATGTATAAGCAGTGTACACCCTTCAAAGAAAATCCTCTCCACAAGGAATACTGGGAACTGTAGTTTGTGAAGGGTGCTGAGAACGGTTAGTATGCCCCTCAGCCCCAGCACCCACAGCAAACTACATTTCCCAGGATTCCTTGGGGGAGGAGCAAGTAGGGCTTTAACTGCATGGTGTATATGCAACAGAGCTGGCCCACTCATAAGGCTGGGTCAGGCGGATGCCTCAGACAGCGCCCTCCAAGGGGCATCACCACCACCCCAGCACTGCCGCCAGTCTCCCCGGCCTCTAGGGTCACAGAGAGACCAGCAGCAAAGCTCTGTGGAATGCCTCCCTCCTGCCAAGTTGGCGCAACAACATATCTAAAAACATAAAACATCAAGTGTTAAAAACGTCCAGATGCAGGGCTGCCTTCAGGTGTCTTCTAAAAGTTGTGTAATTCTTTAACTCCTTGACATCTGATGGAAGGGCGCTCCACCACTACCAAGAAGGCCCTCTGCCTGGTTCCCTGTAGCTTCACTTCTCGCAGTCTGGGAACCAGCAGAAGACCTTCGGAGGAGGACCTCAGTGTCCA